AATCGTACCAATGTCGTTTGTCCTGTAATAGAAGTAATTGATGCGGACGACTTTGGATACCATGCATCTGACGTCATTTATGAGCGCGGTGGGTTTACCTGGGATTTGTTTTTTACTTGGAAAGCTATTCCGGAGGAAGAGAAGAAAAGAAGGAAAGACGAAACGGACTTTATTAGGTAGGTTAGAACTTGATGTTGTTGCTTCTGTTTCTTAACATTATAACAGATGAATTATTAGATGATCGCATGAGTTAGCTGAGCCTGCGAGCAAATTCCTAGGCAACCATTTTCTGTTTTCCCCACCCACCGACCCAAAATATGTTTCAAATACTTGATTTAATCCCTGATTGGCTAAGAATAATAATAATAAGAAGAAGAATTATTATCATGATAACAATCATAATAATGATGATAGTGATACTGATAATGATAATCAGAATTCGTCTTGCCACTGATTCAGTCGCGGGAAAATTTTGTCGGCTGATGGTTTCGCACTATAGCTTGAAGAAAGTCTTATTTAAGCAGAGAAGTGCACTTAACTGTCATAGTGCGCTTGTTTCGCATCATAGCTTGCGCAAGTCGCGTTGTTTGTTGATTATTATAAGAAGTCCATGTGTACTACAATGAACAACATTGGACAGCGCTAACATCTAGTTTCCTACACCTCCGGTTTCAGTTTACGACCAGACTTCCGGTAAATCCATTCGATTAAGCCCATGACGATGCGACTCTAAAAGACAAAAAGTTTGTCCTGCCCATGTCGTTCACTGAACCTCATTTCCAATTGCTGAGTTTTAGGACTAGACTTTTTCTTAGTCCGATCTGACTCATAGCTCTGATGGTTTATATTGGACACGGTTGTTTCTCAGTGTGTTCATTTGATTCTATGTTATGTCGCACTTACTATTATTGTTTTTTTTTCAGGAGCCCAACAATGGCAGGAGGCTTGTTCTCGATGCATAAACAATATTTTTACGATCTGGGAACATATGATGACCAGATGGACATATGGGGAGGGGAGAATCTGGAACTGTCTTTCAGAGTAAGCATAAATCATTATCCAAGAAAGAGAAGAACTGACTGATGCATCTATTAATGGGGTGAGGGAGAAGGGTTACACCGAAAAGTCGAAAGAGGGGAACACCCTCAGGGTAGAGATTTAGACATAACTCAATGCGCTACTCTTGATTACATAATAATAATAATCTAGGGACTGTTCTTTGACATTCATTTGTCGCTCGGGAGGTGGGGGGGGGGGGGGGGGGGGTGTCTTTTTCCCCTTTTGGGTTTAAATTTTTTTTGGGTTTTCCCCCCCCCCCCCCTGGTTTTTTTTTTAACGGTTTTTTGCTCTCCTCCCTTGGGGGCTTTGTTTTACGTGGTTTTTCCCTGATATGATATTAAGTTTACCTGGGTTTGCCCCACCTCTCCAGTGGATCTTTTGTAAGACGATTTGCTCTCGCGACACTTGCGGTCGTTGAATTACGCGTATTCGTGTTTAACGAGTACAAAGTTAGATCTTCTTCCAAAATGGATCTCAAACACTATAAAATTAAGAAACGCTGTAACTATCAATGCGCGTCTTTCTTTTTTATAAAATACCTTTTAGGTTTGGATGTGTGGGGGTCAACTAGAAATAGTGCCCTGTTCACGTGTTGGTCACGTCTTCCGTAAGTACACATCGCCTTATAAATTTCCTAAGGGAACAGCAGTGACCCTAGCAAAGAATTTCAACCGCTTAGCTGAAGTATGGATGGACGAGTACAAGGAGATCTACTACAGGTAAGGAAAGGAACTTCTGGAGAATTCTGCTGCGCAGCTCATGCACTCCTCATGCAGCTGCCTCATAGTAGAAGGAATATATCAACAACGTGAGGACCTTGATAGGTTCTTTGAGTATTTCATGCATTTGTAGACAATTTTGTAATTATCGGCTAGTCCAAGGATGAACTAAAATATTGAAATAACAGTTATCAACTATATAAAAAATCTACAGGAGAGCCAAAAGGGCATAAACGGACAAACAGAATTAGAAAGGATTAAATGGATTTGAAGTCATTTTCGAAACTGCTGCTCAACCGGTTTCTTAGTTGAGATTTATCCCTGACATTTACAGCGTTTTATCTAGAATATTTGAGGAGTAGAGGCTCCCCCCCTAAAATGCCTCGCTTCCCCCCAGATATATTGTTATCATTACGGTATATATTTAAGTAACTAAATCGGAAAAATCATCCAGACGCGACGAGGTCAGTGCACCAATGTAACATTTCTCAAAATTGTCTCAAAATGCACCAAATTGCATCTCAGCGCATATTCATTCCAAAACATTTCCGGGGGGGCATGCCCCGGACCCGTTAGTAAGCTCGTCGCCTTCGGCTACTCGGGACGTCTCCCCCAAACGATAAATCCTAGATTTACGTTCCTTCAAAAATTGGTGAGATTCTCTCTGTTGAGTCCGGAATTACATTTCTAACATTGAAAAATTCCTTTTGTGCAGGAGAAAATCTGAAGAAGAAAAGAACGTTGACATTGGTGACATTAGCGAGCGACTCAAGCTCAGAAGAAGACTGGGGTGTAAAAACTTCAAATGGTATTTGGAAAACGTGTTCCCGGATCTAGCATCAGTGGACCCCAATCCCCCAGCGCAAGGCGAGGTAAAGAAAAAGTAACTAACAAGTGCTGTACGAAAGATCAGACGAAAAAATGTATTTTAAAATATGCTTTCTCGTTGCAAGCAAGTGTGTTGTTGATGAAGATCTCGATTCTGTTTTAATTTAGATTCGCAATGGTGAGTTTCCTCTTTGTGTCGACACTCTTGGAGAGAAAGGCTCTAAAATCGAGCAAGTGGGCCTGTACACGTGTCACGGAATGGGAGGAAATCAGGTCAGTGGTNTTGACATTGGTGACATTAGCGAGCGACTCAAGCTCAGAAGAAGACTGGGGTGTAAAAACTTCAAATGGTATTTGGAAAACGTGTTCCCGGATCTAGCATCAGTGGACCCCAATCCCCCAGCGCAAGGCGAGGTAAAGAAAAAGTAACTAACAAGTGCTGTACGAAAGATCAGACGAAAAAATGTATTTTAAAATATGCTTTCTCGTTGCAAGCAAGTGTGTTGTTGATGAAGATCTCGATTCTGTTTTAATTTAGATTCGCAATGGTGAGTTTCCTCTTTGTGTCGACACTCTTGGAGAGAAAGGCTCTAAAATCGAGCAAGTGGGCCTGTACACGTGTCACGGAATGGGAGGAAATCAGGTCAGTGGTCTCTGCACATTACACATGCGCCCTCTCTTTTCCTAAACATCAAATAAGGTCCCGTATGTTCCCTGATCAGCGGCCGAAAAAAGTCTACGTTGAGAAGTGGCGGATACACGTACATGAAGCAATACAGGGTTTTCCGAGAAGTCCAGCTCCTGTTCAGATTCATTAATCTCCTTTCTTTTTTTGGTAATTACTTTTCCATAACACTGGAAAATTAACTTTATGACGCAGTATAAATATTCACGTTCTTACAACTTCGTATACCTTTTTTTTCTGCCGTACCAAAACGTCTTCTTACAAAGCAAAGCCTCGCTTTTGTAATAGATCATTTTCACCCCTGTGACCAGCAACTATGCAAATTGCTTGGAACAAAGAACATTTTTACATGACAAGAGTCCATCCCCAAGAGATTTTTTTGGTATACCAACATGTCCGCCAATTGGTTTTGCATATGGCCGCCGTGAAGTCACGTGAAAACGATCTATAAGGTAACACTATCCGGCAAGCACTTTTTAAAACTCCCCAAATGAACGGACTGAATTTTACCATTTCCAGTTCTTCACCTTGACGAGGATCAATGAAATACAGTTTAATGACGACAAGTGTTTGGACGCGCCGCGGAGCGAGCCGGGAAGCTTTGTGGAGATGATCACGTGTCATGGTCTTAAAGGAAACCAAGAATGGAAACACGATAAAAACAAGGTTAAATTCTTGGCTTGCAAACACGTAACAAGGGGGCCATGTTGATGGTGTGTTGGTGGTCAATGCAATAGATTTTTTCTCGAAGAATTTACATGAAAATAGGGTTTAGTTTAGTTTTAGTTTAGTGTAGTTTAGAGGAGATAAATGCTTTTGTTCTTAACCTTAACACACCACCAACATGGCTTCCGTGACGTCACGTGCAAACCAGCAAATACAAATTGATTCGAAATTCTTCAATACCTTACTAATTGAATATAGTAAAGTGTACAACTAAGCCTGGTTCACTCCCTTGAAATAGGAACCAAGCATATTCACCGGAAGTCGCTTTGGAACTCAGTAGAAAGACTAAAAAAATCATTCAAATCATAATCATTGCCGGTAAAATAATTTAAATCAAGAGAGAATGATGGGACAGAGTGAATCTTTGGGCGTTGGGATACATGAATTTCACTTACCACCCCACCCCACCCCACCCCCTCCTCCTCCCACTCAAACTCAAATAAGCTTCCTTGCCATTAGCGTTTTAATTAGATTTTGTTATTTTTTTTTTAACATCATTATGGCAAAACAATTAACTGAACTAAAATGAACTATTCCGTTCACTGATGTTTTTCTTCTTCTTCAGGGTACAATAGTACACGTGTGGTCAGAAACATGTCTTGATATTTCAAAGGACAAGGAATACTTGGTCGTTAATCCATGCAAAAAGGGAAGAACAACACAACAATGGACATTTTCACGATATCAACAAGCCAACATTGAGATCGCCTAGCCAAAAATGGCTACAAATAGGCAGGAATCTGGCATGGAATCGGAGGGAGTTTGTACCTGACTGCATGTAGGAATGATGTGATTTCCAAGTACCTCATGTTTGGAAAAATGGTAGCATTGTGGCTTGTGGCTCTCTGTACCTAGAAAAACTTGGTGACTAGTCTTGGCTGATTAATTTTGCTTACACCTGAGTGCATGTGGAAATGACGAAATTTTTCGAGTACCACATGGTTGGGAAAATGGCAGCATTGCGCTGTAACGAGAAAAAAACTTAGTGATTAGTCTTAGATGATTAATTTTGCTTACACCACAAGCTTTTGTCAAGGCACCAGCACGCCAATCATCTCCTTTCAGTAAAATACTGCTAGTTTTCCTTCACAAAACCTGCATCCCGTCATGATTGCCTGACGTCCTCGCTCATAGACAGAAAAACTGGCCAAACCTTGAACCCTACCCTGTTTTACCTCTTTGTAACTTCAAAACTATTGTTTTTAAAATTTTAAATGTCAGATAGGTAACTTGCCCACAGGAAAAGCAAACTGTTCAGTTTCTTTAATGGGCCAGATTAAGAGAACGGAAACAAAAGCATTGACTGCGACAACGTACACGGTGGTGAACTAAACGTAAGTTTGTTTTTGACATTTCATTTTGCAACCCGTTGCGTTGAGACACATTTTTAAGTTCTCTACTGTCTGTCTATTACATTGTTCTCTTCACAGTTTCGGAGCGAATATTATTGACAAAATGTGATGTTGTTTTCTAAACTTTTTATAAATATCTTTGAAGCAAACATGGCACTGGCTGTTTCCGCACCAAAATCGCTTACCGCGCTGTCCTGGTTGATGACATTAAAATAAAAAATTAGAGGTAAGAAGATTCACTTTAGCAATTCAAGTGTCCTCCCTCAATTTCTATCTGTTTTGGTAGTTGACTCTAGGTTTTCCTCGTCGTTCGTTAGCATTTTGTCATTTTGTGATGGCTCAGCAAAAACGTCACCAAAGGTTAATACCGTTTTATTACGATTATTCCAACCTTGCCAGGTGTCAGCTGGAGCTGATTGTCAGCGACGCCAAACGAGATCAGAAAGGGCAAGGAAAGATTCTTGTCATGCATATATTCGCGTCCTCTAATAAACGTAGCAAAAGGAATATTTAGGGGCTGACCATTTGACTTTTGAAGAGGGGGACGGGGGGGGGGGGG